ACGGGCCAGCAGATCCCCGACCTGCGCGCTAGCGCGGCCGCGGCGATGCGCCGGCCAGCGCCGAGCAGTGATCGCAGTCGGCGCCGCGTGGGTTTTGCAAACAAAGTTGCGGGTGGGTGGGCGGGGCGATCGCGCGGGCAGTGGAGTCGTCGCGTTCATGTTCGGCAGGGCGAATTGCCCGATATATTGCGAAGGCCTTACGGCCGTTGCCGCCGACCCTGAGGATGACGAAAGACAACACGAGGGGGGGGGCAGGAGGAGGAGGAGGAGGAGGAGGAGGAGGCGGAATTGAGTAGGAGGAGGAAGGGTGAAGGTGGAGGAGGAGGAGGCCTTATGGATGTTGGTTGGGATCTCGTGGTTGACCTCTCGGGGGCGTCTGGAAGGCAACTTGAAGCCTCTTGGGGGCCATTGTGGGGCCTCTTGGGGCCTCTTTTGGGCCTCTTGGGGCTTCCGGAGGCCGTCTTCGGCGCATCTTGGGGGCGTCTTGGCGCCGCTCGGGGGCCTCTTGGGGCCTTTTGGGGGCCTCTTGGGGCTTCCCGGGGGCCTCTTAGGGCGGAAGTCTCGAATTCTCGGTTCCTCGTCCCCCTCTTGGCTGTTTCTTGGGCCCGTCTTGGGGCCCTATTGGGCCGTCTTGGGCGCCTCTTAGGCTGTCCTGGGGCCTTCTTGGGCCGTCTTGGGGCCCTCTTGTAGGCCTCTTGGGGCGCTCTTGGGGGCCTCTTGGGGGCGAATTGCCCGATATATTTTGCACCGCGTATACTGCGCCGCATCCACCGCCCCCCCGAGGCCAGACTGGTCGATCCCACCTGGGCACGTTAAATTCACGCGCGCTTCTGCCCCATCGTTCGCGCCGCCCCTGCCAAGCCGGTCTCGGCCCCCTTTCCCTTGCATCCCTTGCAAAAGCATTATGCGCGCGCTGTTTTTTCCACAGTCGTCCGTTCCCCAGAACCCCTTGCAACAGAACTCGACGGCCCGCTCACGCCTGGCCGACGCCCGCCAAAAACGACAGGTGTCGGCATGGATTTCAAAATCGAATGCCCCGAACATTTACAATAAACACATGGTTTCACAACGTGAGTTCCTCAATGGCGCGTTGAAGCCTTCCCAGCGCCATCACCGACGCGAGGAGACCATCATCGTCGGCGGCGCGATCAGCATCGGCGCCGCCATCCGCCGTGTCGCTGTCATTGTCATCATCGCCACCAGCACCCCTACAATTTTCATCGTGCCTGCTTGTGTCGACGTCGCCATGGTCGCTTCCCCCCGCGTCGCCGATTCGCATTGAAGTGCCCGCGCGTCAGCGCGGCTGGCGAAACGCGCTGGGAAGTGCACGGCGGTCAGCGCCACCCCGGCCGCGTCCGCCGCGCCTGACTAGGCGGCCGCTGCGCGCGCGAGCTCGCGCAGGCTAGCGCGGCCGCAGCGATGCGCCAGCCACCGCCAAGCAAGCCCCCAGCGCAATCGCCGCCGCATGGGTTTTGTCAACCAAGTTGCGGGTGGGTGGGTGGGTAGGATGCGTGCGCGAGCAGAGGAGTTGACCTCCCACCGTTAGCATTCGCTAGTCGCACCATATCGATGGCTCTTTTGTGAAAGAGCATTCGGATCTACCCCACCCCCCCCACCAACCCCTGGATTCAACGGCTCGCCTTTTCGTATACCATTTTGCAGAGGATTCTGCCCCATCGCCAAACCCTAAACATGAACTCGTACCATCCCAGGCAGGCCAGCAACGCCCCCCCACCTGATGCTTTGCAAAAGTATGCGCGCGCGCTCGCTGCAAAAAAATCATAAGTCCCCGCGAATCCTCAGCAAACGACAGGGACGAAGTGCGCGCGGACGCGCATTGTCGCGCGCGCGTGCCGAAATCATTCAGACACCTTCGGCTTCGTAACGGTTTCAAAATCGAACGCCTCGAAAACGTACGAAAGCACATAGTTTTGCAAGGGGAGTCTCTCGCTACTGTAATTTTTTAAGGCACCCATGGATGTTTCAAAATTTCATAACTTGCTACCAAATGGGCCCCTCGCGCCGCACGTCGGAATCATTCCAGCGCCCGTGCACGCGTGCTGGGGGGGGCAGGATCCGTGCGAATGAATACCGTGCGGGCCACTTTCGCGCGTCGGCCGCACGCGCGTGTCGAATTTCTCCAAGACCTGCATCGCCGACCTGATGGTGCCGTCACCGTCGTCGGCGCGATCAGCGTCGGCACCCTCACTGCCCTTTCCGTCGTCCCTTTCATCATCATCACCACCATCGCTGCCACCATCATCGCGTCTACCTTTGTCGACGTTGCCATGCTGCGGCGCCCGCCCAAGTAGCCGTCTCGCACTGAAGTGCCCGCTTGGAAGTGACCAGCGAGCAAGGCCTCCGCGGCCGCGCCGGCGGCGCCAAACTAGCTGGCCGCCGCGCGCGCGAGCATGCGCGGGCTAGCGCGGCTGCAGAAGACCACCAGCCAAATCCGAGCACTCAAAGCAATCGCCGCCGCAGGGGTTTTGCAAACCAAGTTTGCGGGTGGGCGGGCGGGATGATTGCGCGAACAATGGAGTGGACAATTCACTGCGAATATGAATTTGTGCACAACATAGACTGCACCACTTAAGTTGCACAACGCGGGGTACAAAGCGCATGTTTTACCACGGTGATTGCACCACATACGTTGCACCACGTAGATTGTTCTCCCCCTCTTCCTCCCCGAGAGTGCCCGATGCTTTCGCATTGCAATGTAATACACGGGCGAATGACCCAACCATATGCAACTGTGGGCACCGAATTGTGAGCTTCGCCTTCGATGGATCTCCTTGTGGGGCCGCGACTCGTGTGAGGGGCGTGCCGAAATAGACGCGGCGGCGCCATGCAAACCCTGCCGTTGCGGCCTGCGGTGGGTCCACGAAACGTGTGTGGGCTGCGCCGAGGTGAGCGCGGTGGCGCCGCGCGAAATTTGCCACGGGGGCCTTCGGTGGAGCTCCCGACGGGGCCACGGAACGTGCGAGGGGTGTGCCGACATGGGCGCGGCTTCGCCATGCGAACCTTGCCACGGGGGTTTCGGTGGAGCTGCCTATTGGGCCACGGAGCGTGTGAGGGGTGTGCCGAAGTGAGCGCGGTGGCGCCATGCGAACCCTGCAGCTGGGGCCTTCGGTGGAGTTCCCTGCGGGGCGACGTGTGAGGGGTGTGCCGAAATTGGTACGGTGACGCCGTGTGAACCTTGCCATTGGGGCCTTCGGTGAAGCTCCTTATGGGGCCACGAAACGTGTGAGGGGTGTGCCGAAATTGGTGCGGTGGCGCCGTGCGAACCCCGCCACGGGGGGCCTTCGGTGGCCATGTGGAGCCACGGGGCGTGTGAGGGGTGTGCCGGAATTGGTGCGGTGGCCCCATGACCACCTTGCCATTGGGGCCTTCGGTGGAGTTCCCTGTGGGGCCACGGAGCGTGTGAGGGGTGTACCGAAATGGGTGCGGTGGCGCCATGCGAACCCTGCCATTTCAGGTTGATGATGATGCCGATGGTGAGGGGGGGGGTGACGATGATGATGATGAGAATGAGGATGAGGATGAGAGAAGGAGGGAGGGAGCAGCGGGATTGAGGACGCGGGGCGCTGTCTCTTCAAAACGAGGACCCAACACCACATAACGGTTGGGAAATACTATGCGCGCGCATTCGTTTATCACAAACTTTCAGTTCTCAGCTATCCTTTGCAAACGCGAAGCGAGGTGCACACGGGCGCGTCGTCACGCGCGCATGCCGAAATCTTTTAACAATTGTCCGATTCGTGCGGATTTCACAATCAAGTGTCCAAACAACATATAAGCACAGGGGTTTCGCAACACGTATTTTCCACAATATTTTGTGCGCGAGTTTTTGCGAATTCTTAAGAACCATGTTTTCTGAAACATGTTCTGGAACTACTACCAAACGGGCTTCGCGCGCGCATGTCGAAATCGTTCGAACGCCCTTGCGCGCTTGCCGTCGCGAGAATATTTCACAAACAATGGGGCGAAATGCACGCGCGCGCGTCGTCGCGCGCGCATACCGCAATCCTTCAAAAACATTCAGTTTCGTAACAACGTCAAAACCGATTGTCCAACAAACATGCAACCACATGGTCTTGCAACATCAGTTGTCAAAAGAGCGTGCGCTCGCGCTATTGCGGTTTCATACGAAACCATCGATTGTTCAACATGTTCAGTGAATTTTGCCAAGCGGGCCTCCAGCGCCGCATGCCGAAATCAATCGCACGCCTTTCCTTGAGCGCGTGCTGGGGGGGTACGATCCGTGTCACATAATATCATGCGGGCCACTCTCGCGCGTCGGCCGCGCGCGCATGCCGAACTCTTTCCAAAACCTTCATCACCGACGCGAGGATGCCGTCATCGTCGTCGGCTTGTTCGGCATCTGCGCCGTCACTGGCCGCGCCGTCGTCGCTGTCAGAATCGTCGCCAGCATCGTTATTATCGTCACCGTGTTTACCATTGTCGGCGTTGCCATGATACCGCTCCCGCCCGAGTCGAGGACTCGCATTGAAGCGCCCGCTTGGAAATGCCCAGCTGCCAGCGCCACCGCGGCCGCGTCCGTGGCGCCAAAGTAGCTGGCCGTTGCGCGCGCGAGCATGCGCGGGTTGTGGCGGCCGCAGAGATGCACCAGCCAGCGCCAGGCACTCATCGCAATCGCTGCCGCATGGGGGTTGCAAACCTAGTTGCTTGTGGGTGGGTGGGATGTTTGCGCGAGCAGCGGAGTTGACCATTTCAAGTTGAGCGTAAGTGTAGGCGGAATGCACACCATAGATGGCACAACATGTGTTGCACCACGCAGATAACACATCATAAGTTGTTCTACGAAGTAACCACCACATCGATCGCACCATGACTATTTCTACAGACGCATTGTTTGGGGTATACACTGGGTAAAAAAGTCGCCATGTCTTTTGACGTTTTCGGGCTCCCGGTGCAAGGCCCCGGGTCCCAAACCTCGAGATCTTCTCCCCCAGGACCCGTTTTGATTCCATGCCAGAGAGGTGCACCGACTCGCCGTGCGACGACGTGGACGTGTGCCGCTACCTGTGCGAGGAGTTGCGCCTCCGCGTTGACCAGCAGGACGCCGTCGCCTCGCAAACGCCGCTGTTCTACGCCGCCAGCCGTGGCCACGAGGCCGTGGTCGCCTACCTGCTCGAAGCGCGGGCGGACCCCCAGCTCAGGGACGCGGCGGGCCGGTCCAGCCTTTTCCTCGCGGCCCAAACTGGCTCCGAGGGCAGCGCCCGGCGCTCGGGTCGGTCCCAAAAGAGGGGGGAACACACTGCTGCATGCAGCTGGTTTCTCACCGCCGGGTGAATTCGTGGGTAAATGGGCACCTCCAGCGCCGGGGGGCGTCAGGAGAGCCAGCCACGTGAGCTGATTCGCTAACATTCCTTTTGCTATCCACCCATTTCCTCCGACCCGAGGCGCCTGCTGGGCGCGGGGGCGGACCCGAACGCGGCGGACTTGAACCAGCAGACCCCGATCTTCTTTGCATCGCGCGACGGCAATGTCCCGGTGTTGGCGGCGCTGATGTCGGCCGGGGCAAGACCCGACGCCCCGGACTTTAGCGGCCAGACGGCCATGTTCTACGCGGTGCAAGGCTCTCGGCGGCGCGCACCAGGGGTCGGCGCGAGGGGGGCGGCCTTCCATAGAAGGCGGGGGGCGTTTTAGACAGCAAGGGTTCTTCTTAGAAGGACCCTTGGGGCGTCGCAGATTTTTCAGGGGTTGGGAGTCTTGTAAGAAGGCCCCGCCTTCTATTTTAAGAGGACCCCCCCCACCTTCCCAGACATCCGACGATGTGTTTGTTCATTCCGCACCCCCAGAAGTCTTGACCGCTTCCCAGTGGGTAGCCTTTGGCCCAGAAGCATTGTTGATAGTCTCGGGGCCAATGTCGAAACGGCACAGAGAGTTCAGATTGAAAAACCAATCTTTCGGCCGTCCGGGTTCTCAGACGGTCGACCCATCGTGCGCGCCGCCAAGGCTCGTCCTCGTTGCCGAGCTGCTCGGAGGCCTGCGGCCAGCGGCTAGGGCGACGAGATTTGTACATCCACGGCGCCTGTCCACGCTTATCCTGGACCCGGGCCAGGGAGATGCCATGGAGGCATGCGCACCCATCCTGGGCCCAGGATGGGGCTCCATGGGCGGTGGATGCGCATAGATCTCGCCGCCCGAGAGGCCTGCCGGCTGCTCCTTGAGGGCAGGGCCGACCCGGAGCGGGAAGACCTGAAGGGCCTCACGCCCGTGGCGTTGGCGTTGCGGCTGGGCAGCCCCTGCGCGGCCTTGCTGGCGGCCTACAGTGCAACAGAGCGCGCGCGAGTCGCGCAGACTACTCCTGCAGTCGTGCCATGTCCACGTGCCGTTCTGCGTTTAGGAGTTCGTAGTTTCCGTGCAGATTGCTTGCTGCCTGCTGTATGTTTGGACGTCATTCGGCAGCTGGTGCCCAGGGAGTCCAGGATGCCACCACACGATGTTCAGTATTTCAGTACATTGGCTATTTTCGCCGAGTGAGCCTGTCTGACAGTCCAGTCCAGTCGGTCATCAAGACGTAGTATGTGGGGGGACAAGGCAAAGATATTCGAATGCGTGTGCGCTTGCGGAGCGTGTGGTCTACTTCGGTAGGCAATGAAGCGAAGAGTTTGATGTGCCGCCTGAGCTGTTACTATTTGCTCCGCCATTACGCTACGAAGCCGAGCCGCACCCTGTCTGATCAGGTGCAGATCACGGCGGAGGGCAGGCCTACTTTTCTCGTTTCGCGTTGCAGTGTGGCAGGCATCAGCAGTCGTGTGAGCAACCAATCGAGATAGTTTCAGCGTTTCAGTTCGATAGTTAATTTGATACATGCCAGCAGACTGATCAGTGTCAGTGGCAACTGTGAGTAGGGAAGAAGAGGGCGCAGAGCGGATTGGCGGGGGAGGGGCGTGGAGGAGAGTGCCAGAGGCGCCGCAGACAAGATGGGAGGAATGGGTGGAGCGCGAGGGAGGCGAGCGAGGGAGGATTTGACAGGAGGAAGGGGGGTGACGTAGGAGGGTGGGGGAGGACGGTGGGGAGATGGAGGTGGGGAGATGGGGGGGGACGAGGAGGTAAATTGGAGGGGGAGGAAACGGAGTAATAGGAGGAGAACTTGCGAGGATTCTCGACAGCAGACTTTCATTCTCCCTCTTCCACTCAGCGGCGCACCCTGCTCTGGTTAACTTTGCGCTCGGACAGAGGCCGGCGATCTGGTGCGCCATCTTCGGTGCCGAGGACGGCACCGTCGAGGTGCTGGCGCAGGCCTGGCGGGGGCCCCTCCCGACCGCCGGTGGCAGGTGACGATCGGGCCAAGGCCTTGGCGCCAGCGGGTGCGGAGTCCCCCACAGCGCAGGCGTGCTTCTGGTAGCCCGATCGGTGCTTCTCGTGGTGGCACGGGGGGCAGGGGCTTCGCTACCCGGAAGGCCAGCAGCTCGGCCTCCTGGACGTCGCCAAGGCGCTCGCAGTGCCACGCCATGGGGCGCTCACTTGAGCTCCGCGACAGCTAAACCATCTGGAGAGCACAGGGGGGAGGAGAACGAGGGAGAGAGCGAGGAGGCAGGGCCCCTTCCGACCCGATCGGTCCGATTTGATTGTTTGGCTTACGCCGCACCGCCGACCCCTTGGGGGAGAGTCGCTGTTGCGGCTTCTGGGTGCTGCGTGACTTATGCTTGTATTCATATCTAGTGGCCTTCGGTCCATCCCGCCTCCATGCCCGAGTTATAGTTCGGAGGCCTCTTGGATGTTCGTTGGGATCGCATGCGAAGCCTCTCGGGGGCCTGCCTGCCCGCGTCAGTTTAGAGGCCTCTGGGGGGGCTGTTTTGGGGCCTCTGTTGGGTCTCTTGGGGGCGTCTTGGGGGCGTCTTTGGGCCTTTGGGGGGCCTCTTGGTGCCTCCTGGGGGCCTCATGAGGCGGAAAGCTAGTATTTTCGGTTCGTGGTCCCCTTCTTGCGCCCTTGGGCCCTGTTGGGGCCCTCGTGGGGCCCTCTTGGGCTGTCTTGCGGCCCTTTTGGGCCGTCTTGTGGCCCTCTTGGGGCGTCTTGGGGCCTTCATGGGGTCCTCTTGGGCCGTTTTGTGGCGGCCGTGGGGGCCTCTTGGGCCGTCTTCGAGCGTCGGAAGCCGGTAAAGGCGAGAATGCAAAACACTTCGAACAAAATTCGAAGCCTCTTGGGGCGTCTTGGAGGCATCTTGGGCCGTCTGGAGGCCATCTTGGGCGTATTGGGGCGATGCTTCGGCGACTCGGGGACCTCTTGCACCGTCTGGGAGATCTCTTGGGGCCTCCGTGGCCCTCTTTGATGCCCTCGATGCCCTCCTAGCTGAATCTCTGGAGCAAAGTACCTCCCCTGGGCGGCCCGGGTAGATCCCCCCCCCTCCAAATCGATTGGATCCGGCTCCTGGGGGAGGGGTTTGGGGAGTGGGAAGCATCTCGCACGCTGATGGAACCCCAAGTGTCGGGGTCAGCAGAGATCAGCTCCGGCCGGTCCGATCCGAGTCAATTCCCATATCCTGACGGTCTGATACGTCTAGATGCTTGCATGGCGTTGTTGTGCACTCTGGCGCGGCCCAGCTGATTTGATTTCGACTCCGTGCCGAGCCTTTTCCACAGACCACGGCTGAATTGATTTCTCTTGTTGCGTCGAATGCATGGGAAGGCTGTGGTAGCGGCAAGCGAATTCCGTCGTCATAGGTCATAGGTTTGAATGAAGGGCATCCGCCCGCGCGAGACCCCGATGCCAGATCGATGTCGATCGGGCTTGCCCGTGTAGTAGCCGTCGCGTATAGCATTGCATACAAGCCAAGCGTCTCGCCCGCGAAAATCAGGTTCGAAGTCGGCAAATATAAGATGCATCGGTACAGGTGTGTAGCGCATCACGTGCTGGTGCTTTCCTGACGTAGTGTTCGTATGAACGATTCGGTAGTAGCGACTGTATATGGAGCAGGGGAAGGTGCTTGGCAATTGGTGTTTTGTGATCACACTGTTTCCCGCCGAGCGGCCTGTAATCCCACTGGCACTGTTTGCCTGGGGAGGTTCCCCATCGCGACGGCGGCATATGCGTTTGGAAGCGCCAGCCAGGGTGACCGCTTGGAGAAGTCGGGAGGCGACTGTCCAGCAAGGGTAATCATATCATTCCTCTGAAACGCTGGCGGAAATCCCGGTCGATTGAAATAACACTGATATGTTGCGGTCGGCGTTTGGGAGGGAACGCGCCGATTTTGCTTGATATTGGGCCCCAGACCCGCTCGCGCTCTTGCGAACCGTGCCGACATCAGAGTTCCGCCCGCGTGCACGTCATCGCAGCAGCGAGGCCACCCGCAAGGGCTCGGCATGTCGCGGTCTGGTCCGGATAGCTGTCCCGTCCAGGGGGCGAGAGTGCGCGAAGATGATCGTGTTCCGCGCAGCTGGAAGCGCGAGCTGGACCCGGAGTACGATGACGAGGGGGACGAGTCCAGGCCTCCCGAATGGGGTCCGAGTAGATGGGGTCGGAGGATCGCGCCGCATCGCCGACACACTGGCGATGCGGCTCGATGTGGAGCTCGATGTTTTTAGTTGGGAGCCCTCCAATGAGAATCAGCGGTTCAAACATGTGGCCCTGCGGTACGGTGCCCCCAAGGAAAGAAAGGGGTACCAGGTTGACTTTTCGCAGTTTGAGGCTACTCGTCCCTTTGGGCCCGATCCCTCAGGGCCCCACCCTTCGAACCGCCGAGGGGGCGGCCGTCGCTGCAAGGGCGGCTGGCCTGACCTCTCGGGGCGTGCCCTCGCGATCGCCATCCGCTCGTCCATGGTCGCAGGCAGAGCGTCGGCAGGTCGTCGACGAGGCCACGCTCGGACGTTGTCGCCGTGCGCACCAGTCTGGCCCTGCCCCGCCTCCTCCCCTCTGAGTGCACATCACACGATGAACTCATGTTTGGGATCTGGGTCCGCCTGGGCACCAAAGTGTAGACGCATCGCGTAACCCCACCAAGGATGGCGCTCTGACGCGGATCAGCCACACCTTAGCTCCAGTGAGCCTTGATGAGTCAGACCTCTTTCGCCGCACCATCGTTCACCCAGGGTGCTGCAGTGAGTCTGAGTTAGTCGCTCGCGCTCGCATTTTCCCCCCTCTCTTTTCCGAGGTCTAGGCCTGTCACTGGGTGCACGCACGTGGGCTTCGCTTGGTCATTGGCCATTCGGATCCGCGCATGCGGCTTTACAGTGCCCCGCCGTCTCTCTTGGCCTCGTTTCCGAATGTGGTTCGGCTGGAGCTCGGCGCCGCAAGGGCGACTTCTCCCCCCCCGTTCCGCTGCCGGTCGCCGCGCCTTTGCTTCCCCACCTGCCGGGATGTCTGGGCCTGTCACCTGCCGACGCTGTCCTGCGTCTCAATGAGGGGCATTTTGTCCCTGGCATGTGCATACGCCGCTGCGGCCAATTTACATCGTACCGCGCCCCGGACGTTGTGCCCGCTCCCTGTCCCTCGCCTTGAAACCGCGAGCCAACAAAAATAACCCCACCAACCCATCCAGAAACGACGCCCAGGCGAGTTGCCCCGATCAGAGATGTGTAGGAGCATGCAGTGAAATAGCGGGCTGGGGAAGCTGTCGTACCCCAAGAGGAGGAGGACGGATGAGGAATCGTCGTCGGAAGAGGAGGAGGAAGCGGAGGCGGAGGAGCGGGAGGCGGAGGCGGATGAGGAGGAGGAGGACGAGGAGGACGAGGGGCGGGGGGGGAAGTGGGAGGGGGAGGGAGAGATGGAACAGGGAGGAGAGATGATGATGATGATGATGATGATGATGATGATGATGATGATGATGATGATGATGATTGATGATGAGGATGAGGATGAGGATGATGAGGATGAGGAGGAGGAGGAGGAGGAGGAGGAGGAGGAGGAGGAGGAGGAGGAGGAAGAGGGGGAGGGAGGAGGAGGAGGAGGAGGAGGAGGAGGAGGAGGAGGAGGAGGAGGAGCAGGTGGAACATCTGGTGGAGGAGGGGGAGGAGGAAGAGGAGGAGGAGGGCCAGAGGCCTATTGGATGCCTCTCGGAGTCTCCGCGGATGTTTCTTGAAAGCTTCGTTGAGACCCCTTGGCGGTCTTGGGGGGCTCTTGGAGCGTCTTTCGTGCCGCGGGGCAGCCTCTTGGGGGCCTCTTGGGGGTCTCTTGGGAGCCTCTTAGGGACTCTCTGGGGGCCTCTTGGCCTCCTGGGCGCCCCTTGGGGCACTCTTGGGAGCCCTGGGTGGTATCTTGGGGCCATTTTGGAGGAGGTCTCTCAGAGAAGAGGGGGGCTCAATTAGCCTCCCCAGGGCCAACATTGGCCCAAACCCGAAGTAACATCATTGATGTTTGTCTGCTAGCCGATGCATTCCTGGACGATCCAATGGATCGCGAACTCCCCCGTCCAGGTCCAGGGGAGGGGGTGGGGGGAAGGGTCACGCCCTTCAGAAGGGGAAGCAGGGGGTTGGAAGAGGAAACTCGCTAAACCACTCACGTCCTAAAGGGCTGGTGGGATCGGGAGATAGAGGAAGTCAGCGCTATGGGAAGGGATTGGTGGGAGTGGTAGGATGTCAGATACGGCGCGCGCGCACCTAGCCTGCCCCGCTCACCTCTCCATTCCCCATCCTTCCCCCCACATCCCTCAGTCGGGGAACAAACAACGCCAAACGTAATCACAAACCGTCGGGTCGCCCGAGTGGATGTCTTGGATCGGCGCTGGTACCCCCTCGCGCCAGGGCGGCGCCAGAGTCGCCGCAAGAGGGGGCGTTCAAAGGCGGATTCATTCCGTCAGTTTCCCTCTTTGTCCTTCCCCTTTTCTTGTCCGTCTTCTCCCCTCCCCTACCCTCCCCCAGTCACCGAATGGTGCTCGGTGATAGGTGGAGATATGTAGCCCCGTCGCCACCGAGCGTGGCTTCGACAGGGCTAGGTAATGGCATGTCTGCGGTTGTTTTGTTCCCTCGTCCTGTGCCCCTTCCCTACGCGGGGCTAGGCGGTGGCGCCGGGACGCCGCCATCAGTCAAAAGCTGGAGAGCTTATCCTACCGTCCTCTAGGACGACAGGCGCAGTCTCCAGTGCCCAGTGTGGCCCTCACCCCTCTCTTCCTTTTCTCTTGGGCAAACCATGGGGGCGAGACGCCAGCCTCTCCTCCTCCTCTTCCTAAGGGCGGTCAGACGGTGCGGCCCCATAACGGCGAGGCGCGATACAACATTATAGGCGAGGTCGGTCTGTGAACCCGTTCGCGCCTTTTCATAAAGAATCTCGTTGTGCAGCCAGCGCCCACATCAGAAAAGGATTGCCGCAGGATCCAGAATCCAGAGCCCACCCTTGACTGGCCGAATCATTTTCCCAGCCTTGGTCCTCGCCGTTTTTCAGGGGGGCATCGGTCTCATGACGTCCGAGCGCGAGCCAGATTTCCCGGCATATCCTTCGGCGGCCTCCCTCGGCGGACTCATCAGCGGATCCCCTTGGATTTCCGTGGGGCGTCGGGGCGCTCCACGAGGACCCGTGCCAGAATTGCGGCAGCGGGAATTTTGTTTCGCCCACTGCCCGGGCGTGCAGCTGCCCACTGCCCTTGTTTAGAGGAGCAAGATGTCATGAGACATGTACGTTCCAATAGTACTAGGTTTTCCCGTTGTCCCGCGCGGTCTCCAGAGACGTGCTCCATATTTTGGAAATCCTGGAACGCATCTTGAGCCAACCGCGTCACGACCTCATTATCTCCATATTTGCTTCCCTACTCGCGCGATGAACTTGGCCAGAGGCCCTCGACGACAGAGGCGGGACATGGACTCCATTCACGACGGTCGCCCGCGTCTGCCACGCTCTCTGCAGCCAGCGGTGCGAGTGTTGTTGTCAGCCGCACGTCATTGCGAGGAAGAAGAGCGGGTCTTTCTCTGTGGGGGGTAAAGTTTGCGTTCGCAGGAGGGCCAAGAGCCCCCTCATGAATCGCGCAACCCACCCCCAGAACTCAGACCCCCATCTCTCACCCCCCTGCCCAGAGATTAGGGGTTATGGCTGTCCTCGATGTTCGGTTGGCTCGACTATGCGCGCCCGTATCCCCCCTGATCCGGGCCTGATTGGATCGTCTCGATCGTTTCTTTCTCGATCCTCTTTCTCCGTGCAGTTGTTGCCAAACGTCTCCCTGGCCCAAGGCAGAGCCTCCAGAGCACGCCTCACGAGACCAGGAGGGCCCCAGGGGTTCCAGAATGCCGCGAAATGTTAGACATGTTTGGCCAGGGACACCTGTGGCAACTCCTGGTTGATCGGGGGTCGATTTAAACTGTTCGATTGTTTCTTCCTCGATCATGTTCCTCGCGCAATGTCTTCGCCTCCTCGAACGGTTCGCTTTCTGATCTGCGGCAAGGACGGATCGGGCGAGCATTCCTTGGGAAGAGTGCTTTTGTGTTTGGGGGTTATGTTCTCAGGTTCCAGGGCCTGAAAGCCGAATTCGACATCAATAACGAGGCGCAGTTGCCTGAGTGGGCGAAGCAATACCAGGTGGGACTGGATATAGAAAGAGAGAGAGAGAGAGATGCACCTTGGTCCTTGAAGTTTGGCATGCAGGTGGAATGGCAGGAAGGTCAAACAGACAATTTAGCGATAACTCCTTATTGCCTTTTCCGGCATCGCCGTTATAATAATGTTACTCGTCATCCTTCCTCCACGTTTCTTTTTCCTCATTCTCGCCGTACCTTGCGACCTCTTCCCCATCCACAGCTCTTTTAGCGGAGGCTCCTTCTCGGAGAGCCTCTGGGGGCCTCACGGAAGCTTTTCAGGCTTTCTGAAGACCTTCTGGAGGCCTCCTGGGCGTCTCCTAGGGGCCTCTGGGGGCTGCTTCCTCGTGCCACCCTGCCTCCAACCGCGGTCTCCCTGAACGACCGGGTCACGATTTGGAATATTTCGGAGGGTATCTTGGAGCCATCTTGGGCCGCCATGGGACTCGTGGGCCATCTGGGAACCCTGTTGTGCCGTCTTGGGGCTCTCCTGGTCTGCCTTGAAGCCGTTTCGGATGGTTCTGGGGCGATTTTCGAGCCTCCCAGGTGGCGGTCTCGGACGCCCAGAAGACCGAAGAACAAGGCATTCCCCAAATCATGCAAAAATTGCGTATGGGAAGCCTCTTTGGGGTCTTCTTTGGGTCGTCTTCGGGCGTCTGGTGGGTGCCTGGTGCCTCTTGGGGCTCTCGGGGGGGCGTTCGGCGGCTTTCTGACCGATTTGGAGCAGCTTTGAAACGCCTGGGGCGCCTTATGTAGGGGCGTCCAGGGGGTCCTGATCCCGGGCTCCGTGCCCACGGGCCCCGCCACCCTCCCCCCCCAGATGGTATGGTCCCAGGATTCTTCGGGCCCCCCCCCCTCCCCCCAGATGGTATGGTCCCAGAGACGAAGACGACGACGACGACGACAACGACGACGACGACGACGACGACGACGACGACGACGACGACGGCGACGGCGACGGCGACGGCGACGGCGACGGCGACGGCGACGGCGACGGTGACGGCGACGGCGACGGCGACGGTGACGTCGACGGCGACGACTACGACGACGACGACGGCGACGGCGACGGCGACGGCGACGGCGACGGCGACGACTACGACGACGGCGACGACTACGACGACGACGACGGGTGCGGCGGCGACGACGCCAGCGGCGGCGACGACGACGATGACGACGATGACGACGGCGACGACTACGACGATGACGACGACGACGACGACGACGAGGAGGAGGACGACGAGGACGACGAGGACGACGACGACGACGTCGACGACGACGACCTCTGAACCACCGCAGCACCACACCACATCCACAGGGGGGGGGAGGGGGGCACCGCAGCGCAGCACCACGCCACGCCCACCTCTGAACCACCACAGCACCACACCACATCCACAGGGGGGGGGGGAGGGGGGCACCGCAGCGCAGCACCACGCCACGCCCACAGGGGGGGGCGGGGGGAACCATAGCGCGGGGGGGGGGGCCCAATGGCATCAGCATTGGGGGGGAGGGGGGGGCCCAAGCCCTGGACCAAAAATATGTATATTTACACATACATAGAGAGAGGGAGGGAGGGAGGGAGGGAGGGACGGAGGGAGGGAGGGAGGGAGGGAGAGAGAGAGAGAGAGAGAGGGAGAGAGGGAGAGAGAGAGAGAGAGAGACAGAGAGACTGAGAGAGAGACAGGCAGAACTGCATAGGGAGAGGTGGGAAGCCGAGGAAGCATAGAGAGTCAGAACATGCTGACTGAACAGTTATTTCGGCCGAGCACTCTTTCGATCCAATATGTTCCCCAAGCCTGGTCGGTCCCAGAATTGTCAGATGATCCGACAGGGTCCATTTCGATCCGATCGATCCGATGTGGTATCGATCTGGCCGGTCCGATCCGATTTGATTACGATATTCTGGCGATCCGAGGTGGTTTGATGTTTGCACGGGCGCTGCTTTGCATCCCGGCGCGGCCGATCCGGTTCCGACTCCAAGTCGATGCGGCCTGATCCGACGCACGTTCCGATTCAATCAGCTTTCCCGATGCTGACTGATCTTGCACGAACATGAAGACTCGGAGGTCCGTGCAGACTTCCTGCATCGGCGCTGGACTCCCCTCCCTGGCACGCGGAGCGCGACAGAGGCGCCGCCAGGAGGTCCATAGCCGACCCACACGTTCACTTATTTTGTTATGATTCGATTTGGGTTCCCGATTCGATGCTGACTTCAGGGCCCCAGAAATCATGACTTTGCAAACCAGGAACTTCCCAGATCCAGCTGGAGAGAAGGAATGGAGAACGGTTCGACCACAGCTGCAGCTTTCTCGGTTGCGCCAACGTCCTGGTGCATCAAAGTCCCCCATTACGGGGCCCGAGAGCAGGTGGTGGCCCTCGTGCTGCTGTGCGCCGCGCTGGAGCCCCCCCCCGCCCGCGCCCCCGTCGCCGTCCCCCTTTGCCCTCGAGTGGGGGGGGCTTGTCGAGGGCCCCGCCCTTCGCCACCTCGCTCTTCGATCCTCATCGATCCTCCTCCCTCCTCGTTTCCCTCCTCGGTCCTCGATCCTCCTCGCCCCTCGATCCTTCTCGGGCTCTTGAGGCTCGCCTCAAGATGCCCCCCTCGCTCCCCCCCCTGGCCACAAGAGGAGGAGCGAGGAGGACCGAGGATCGAGCAGGACGGTGGGGGAGCAACGATGGGTTCAGGAGGAGGACCGATGATTGACCAGGAGGATCGAGCAGGATGGAGGACCGAGGATCGATATGGATCTAGATGATCTAGGATTGTTTTTTCATCAACCGCTTCATGACTCCCACTACTGGGGGCCTCGACTGCGCCCTGTCTCTGCTAAACAGACCAGTGTGAAGTGAGACAAAGGACGGGCTTGACCATGCCAATCTGATGTGGTTGATCAGCCCTGCATGACATATGTTCAGGCTGCCGGGCAGCTCCACCGTCTTTCCTGGAGCAGGCCTCACCCGAGTTCATCACTCTGCCCTCGTGGTGCAAACACGGCAGAGAAGGCAGTCAGAGCCCCGAATCATCAGGGGTAACTCGGGTCAGGGCTAACTCGGGTTTGTTTTTCGGGAACCCAAACCCGAGTTATCCCGGACCCGAGTTACCCCGGATAACTCGGGCGTCCAGAGCCCCGAATCATCAGGGGTAACTCGGGTCAGGGTTAACTCGGGTTCGTGTTTCGGGAACCCAAACCCGAGTTACCCCGGACCCGAGTTACCCCGGATAACTCGGGCGTCCAAGGCAGGCACAACCATGCAGCCATCGGGAGCCATCGGAGCAGTCACCAGCGCGCACTGGGCGGCCATTCTGCTTTGTGGCGTCGAGGATCGAGGCGGGGAGCAGCCGCGCGGCGCCCAGGAGGGGGAGACGGTCCTCGCTCCTCCGACCCTGCAGGCGAACCTTGATGGGCCTGTTTTCCACCACCACCACCATAAGTTGGAGGGGGAGGGGGTCCTCCTCCTCCTCCTCCTCTTCTTCCTCCTCATCCTCTATCTCCTTCCCCCCTCCAACTTATGGTGGTGGTGGTGGAAAACAGGCCCATCAAACCTGCCACTTTCAAAACTCCCCCCGCCAAGCCCACTCGTGGACCAACAACTTGCCATCCCGATTTTGCTTCTGAGGGAGAGCGAATTCGGCATCAGAGATCCAGCCGCGGCGAGAGGAGGAGCTCGACTGCCAACGCGACGGCTGAGTCCGCGGTGCGCCAGATTTCCACCTCGGCTCCTGAAGGACTCAGGGGAACGCATTCATTCCCAGTGCCAGCAGCAAAACCATGACATGTGCGCCGCCGTGGACAGGGTGTGCGTGTGTTTGTGTACGTCGTGTGCGTCTGTGCGCGGGAACTCGCGCGCGACGTTGTTCGATTGCGTGGGCCATTGCTGATGCGGTCCGAAGTGAGCACGATGAGATTTTGGGTCCCTCTCCGCGTGCCCTTGTTTTGCCTGCGGGACGCCCACGGGCGCGGCGGGGGGGTATGACAGAGAGGGGTGGCACTGAGAGGATGGGCCCCATACTTCTTGAAGAGCCTTGGCTCACGCTGTTCCGCCGACCCCCAGAAGAGGATATTTGCGGCCAACGAACTCGGCGAAGGTGGTATTCCGTGTATGGACGCTCCAGCATTGCACAGCTCGAGAAGTTGGGGCGTCCGTACACCGAGATCCCTGGCCGACCAGACGACTTGTTGTGTACTTCAAGGGCCCCCCAGAGGCGGGGGCGCCCGCGCGGGCGCGCGCGCGCGCGGCGGCCGCGCAGGCCTCCGGGAGGATCCTCTGCGGCAGGACCGCGCAGTTCCAGAGGTGCGCCACGGCGGTGGACCCCGCGGCCTGCGGCGAGAGCGTCGACTGCCTGGTCCGAGGGCCGGGGGGGGGGGAGGTCGGTTGAGGAGGAGATGCCGCCACCGCCGCCTTGTTGCCGCCTCCACGAAGCGCAAACACGGATCGAGGCGCGACGGGCGGTAATCAGCGACGGGGCCCGCTTCCATACCACATCGGCGTGCTCCGTCGCCAAATCGGGCAGCATTGGCGCCATGTTTCGGGGGTTGCGCTCCCCCGGTCACGGATCCCTGAGCCGTGCTGGCGTGTGCGCGGTCGTCTTCGCCCTTCCGTCGAGGACGAAGCACATGCACGGACCCCTTCGGGGGTCGAGGTCCTCGTGGACTTCTGGGGTCGGCGCTGGGCCGCCCTCCCTGACGCGCGGAGCGCGCCAGGGCGGACCGACTGGTGCAGGCGGATCTCGCAGTGTGGGGGGATCGGCGAAGTGGGCGGGCGCGGCTCCCGCGGCTCCCCTTGCCCTTCTCGTGCTCGCTCCTGGCACCGGCGCGTGAGCGAGCGAGCAGGCCGGCAGCGCCCCTGGACCCCCCGCCGCAGGGGTCGAGCGCCCCCGTCCGCCCGCGGGGCCCCTCCGCCCCTGGGTACGGCAGGTTTGCGCCGCGTGGACGCGGCGGCGACGCCAGCGCGGTTGTTCAAGCCTGACCGCCGCTGTCGGCGCTATCGTGCGGCCGCGATCGATCGTCCCACGAGGAAGGATCCACGGGGTGTCTGAGACCAACGCCGACGTCATCGCTGCACGGACCTGCCTCACGCAGCCCCTCGGGCCGCAGGTCGTGGAGCGCAACCCGGAGGACGAGTTCTTGCATCGCGGCGGCACCATGGGCGACGACGGCATATGAGCATGAGCTGGCGGCGCGGGGGTCCCGAAGGGCGCGCCTCGCGGAGGGGTGCGGCGCCGCCGCACCGCGTGCTTGTGCACGTCTCTCTCGATTGCCCTTGCTCTTCGCCCGCTCGCGCTCCTGCTCTCGTGCGGTCCTTCATGGGAGCCTCGGAGGGTCACACAATTCCTTGCGGTTTGGGGGATGTTGTCGGGATTTCGTCTGATTGTCCCGACACTTGGACGACAAGGTCAAGAGGGGTGGTCGAAATTTAGATGAAATTTGGTCGGAATCAAGTTTATGATAGGGCCGCGGAGGTCCGCAGAGGCTCCTGTGAAGGCTCACCCAACTGCTCGCGCTCTTCCTGCCCCTCCCTCCCCGAGGAAGGAGAATCGAGAGCGAACAGAGATCGCTGACGCTTCGCGATTCCCGGCCGGCCCACCGCCGCAGACGTGGGTCGGTCCGAGGCTGGGATGTTCACACGTATCCGCCGCCTCGGGAGCCGATCTCCCTGAGATTTCTGGGGTCGGTGGATACGGATTCGTGAACCCCTGGATCGAAGAGGGACAATCTGCTTTTCGGAGGTGCTCGCTGATTTCTTGGGTCGGCGTTGGACCTCTTGCGTGGACTTCCTGAAATTTCTATTATTGCCGATTTTGTTTTTTGTACCCAGGGGGGGAGATATACAGTCAGTGGGTAGCCTGGTTCCAGGTTCTCCGGGCGGTGGGTACAGTCAGCGCGCATGGCAAGGATGAGTCGTATTCCCCAGCATACCCTTGCATGTTTGCCTATCCGGCCCGTGTTCAAGTCATCCCGTTGGCAGTGCGCCGCTGCAACAATCCTCTAACTTGGACGACCACAAGGCTTGCATTCTTACCAGTTCGACTCCATGTATAAATCCTTGCTTCGCAAAGGGGCAGGTCGAGAGCGTTGCGTTCTGCCACGTGTCTGAGTAGAACGGGAATATGCGGCTCGATTGTGCATCCGGTGCCCAACAATTGCTTGCGTCTGGAACTGCAGTGCACGTTGGGGGTGGCTCCTGATTCTCGCCCTCTCCCTGTCCTTCCTCCACTTCCCCCTCTCCCTCCCTCCCTGCCTTGTTGCCTGGCTCCCACGCTCCCTCCCCGTCGGGTGTTGCCAGAGGCGACATTGGCCCAAGGTGGCTTCCGCTTTTCCAGGGGGGCGCAGGTTGCCTCCAGGGCATCCCTCGCGAGGCCTCGAGTGCCCGAGTGGCTCCACAACGGAGGGAGAACGCGGGAGCACCTGGGGCCAGGATCACCTTGAGGCAGCACCCCGACCCTGCTCCATCAGACCAGCCACAGCTTGGGGAGGTGTGGTCGTTTACCTGCCTGGGAGACCTATCGGCTCCGACACCCCTCGCGAGAGGCCGTCGATACGATGGTTTTCCTCAGCTGTGGCTGGTCTGTTCCTCTGCTGGTTAGCGCTCCGTGTCCTCGTCCGCTCAACCGTGCTTTGGTGTCGATGGACCAGCGGCAATTCGTGGCACCGCCCGTGCACGGTGAGTTAGCGTCCTGCATTCGAGATTCGAAGGCTTCCCGCCCTCCGCCATGCCACCGCCCATGCACGACCTCCACAAATTCCAGAGGAGACTTGTACCTCGTCCCCACGGCTGGACTCGCCTCGAAACCCTTGTCTGACTGCACCGCAGAGGTCCCGGGAGTGGCCTCAGCAATATATTTTTCTTGAGGGTACGTAGAGGGAAGGGGGGGGGGGCGGCAAGGCCGGGCTACGGAGCGACCCCCAGCTTGAGGCTCACGTGTCCTTCTTCCAGGGGCCGTCCAGAGCAATGTTCGTCCAACCCCACCTGTGGCCCTTTGGACACTTGTGCTCCCCCCCGATCTTGTTCTCACAGAGTGGATCGCAAACGGTCGCTTGTCAGACTACCATTCCTTCCGGCGCGTTCAGCAAAGGGCCTTCCTTCCGACACGCCTCGCCTTCGGCGGAAGGTCGGCTTGAGGAGGTGGAAGTAAAAGCGAGGCGTTAAATGTGCTTTTTGCAGGTCTCGGGATCTGCCACGCGGCCTGAAGGGCTTGACGACTCTTGTCCAATTGACTTGTGCGGATCGAGCCAATTTGTTTGTACGTAAACCGTGTAAATTCGGATAGCTCCAGGTAAAGCCGGAGACATCCAGATATATTTGGAGAAGCCTTGGCAGTCCCAGCACGGGTCGAGGGACAGCAGAAGTCGTTCAGCTATTAGCGAATGCGCATTTGGGGTTGCAGCTTGCCTCGGGGCGAGCCGACGCTGTAAGGGGGAGCCGCCATATGGGACTCTGGCAGGCACTTCGGTCTTCGTGGTCTTCGCGGCCAGCTCGATCCGATACTGCTGGATGTTTGCACGGCACTGTCGTGCATCCTGGCGCGGACATTTGGTTAAATTCTGGATTTCGTACCGATGCAGGTCGATCCGACGCTTGATCCGATCCCATCCAATTTCCCGATTCGATGTTTGCTGATCTTGCCTGAGCGGGGCAGCGAGACGCCGACGTCTTCAACATTCATGAGTTGAGTGAGATTTTTGGGTGCGCACGTTGAGCGGCGAGCCCTCCGGCGGGGGCCGGGCGGTCATGCACGGTTGAAGGAGTGCTTGCTAAACAGACAATCACAGGTATGGTGAAAAAGTGTCCAGCGACGCGAGTGTTTGCCGAGTGTTGAGCACAATCTTCGATCATGACGGTCGGGGATCCCGGGAACCAGGGAAAGAACATTTCCGGTTCGAAAGGTGTTTGGGTTTAAGGTAGTCCGCCAAGAGGATCCCAGCAGTTACCACGCACCCACCCAGGGAAACTAACAGTAGCGTTTGCTCATTACTCCAGATTCCGTGCACAGGTCGTTTGTCAAACCATGTGTAGGTTTGAATCTTGAGATCGCAAAGTTTTTGTAAGCGCTTTCCTAATTCAATGATTAACATCTTGGTGTTTTCGAGTGCGTCTGCGTATCAGTTACGTGGGTGGGGCGAACCACACACGATGTATGAATTGCACCCAAGAGGCGTGCAATAATATTTGGACTGCAGCGTGGGATCGGGCCGATATCTGTTCCAGGGATGTTCCGAGTTGCGCGATCGAAGCGTCTTGTGCTCCCAAGTAGGCGCGCGATTGGCATAAGCAGGCCAGCTTGGTGAATGTGCTTGCTTGCTAAGTGAGAGGATCTTGGAGGCGGAGGGGGAGGATGTGGTGACTAAGGAGAGAGAGAGAGAGAGAGAGAGAGAAAGAGAGAGAGCAGGTGATGCAGTGTGCAAGGGGAGGAGGGGGAGCATGGGGGAGGAGGAGACTGAGGGAGTCGGGGTGTGGAGGCGGGAGGAGGTCCCAGTTCATGATCGATGGCGGCACATGCCTTGGCCATGCGCGTGGATTTGCGACGTGTCCCGCTTCTGTGCAAGACAATTCGGGTAGCCATGGCCTCATGTTTCGGGGATTAACTTCTCCGATCCGTGCATATGGCGCCCGCGCGCCAGATCCGTAACTCGTGCCGGCGTGCACCTGACACGTCCGACCCTTGGCCCGGGGATGGGATGCGCTTTGAGGGGGTCCTTCTCTGCGCTCCACTGGGATCCCCCCAGCGAGAGTGCTTCGCCATGTCCTGCCCAGCGGGCCAGGCCCTTTCGTCTCGAACGCGACGTTCAGGGCGCCGTGCCATCTCGCCATCTTATCTCGCTCCTCCGCCGGCCGCCCGGCGCCCCCGCCGCAGCCCCCGCGCGCGGCCGCGGCCGCCGCGAGGGCCCGGGGCGCGGGAGGCGCAGCGGGGCCGCGGGCGCGCCCGGGAGCGGCGACCACCCTGGAGGCTCGAGGGCGGGAGAGGGAGGAGGCCCTCGCGCCCTCCGGGCGAGGGAGGGATCCCGAGGGGCCGGGAGGGCGGCGGAGAGGGGCGGCGCAGGGCAGACGGCGGCCCCAGCTCCGGAGGCCGGGGCCCCTGCGGCCAGGGCGAGAGCGGGCAGCGCCGCCGCCGCGACGGGCGAGCGCGAGCCGGCGGAGCCCGCTGCAGAGCCACCGGCGGTGCTGCGGCGGGCGGCGGGAGCGGCTCTCTCGCGCGTCCTCCCCGCAAAGGGCTGGATGCCCATTCGGAAGTCTGGCCGGAGCGCACCCCAGGACGGGACTGCAGGAAGCTCATCATCTCGTTCCTGGCCGCCGGACGGAGGATCGCCGTGAAGCAATGGAGTCTTGAGGGAAGTTGATCCAGCGTTTGTTTTCCGAGTTTTCGGGAGGGGGGCCCTCCACGGGTCCCGGGATTGTCAGGGAACGACTCAGGATGAAGAGTTGATTTTGGGGAAAAGCCTCGGGATCCAGGACCCCTTCCTCTCAGGACCCGCTTGTCTCATGCCAAACATCGAAGAAGGAAACAAGCATGATATGATTTAGGTGTTTGCTCGCCATTTTTTCTGTGCGTCGTTTCCGGGCTCCCAGCGCCGTCAGACAGACATGGATCCAGGATGGTAACTTCTCCTAGGAGGGTCCCAGGACTGGTCCAGGACCCGTGCTGGGTAGATTTCTCAGAACATCTTCAAGAGGCTTACGCCCTTTCGCCGAACCCCCTGCAAGGTCCATACAGGTGAGGACTTTTGGGGCCCATTGGGGACCTTCTGGAGCCCTTATTTGTGCCTCTCGGGGATCCTCTTCGGGCCTCGTAGGAGTTTCTTGGGCTCGGAATGTCAGTTCGAGTCACCTCTCTTGGGCCTCTCGTGGGGCCCTGTTGGGGTTCAGTTGGGCCGTATTGGGTGACTATGGGGCCCTCTTGGGACTTTCTTTGACCGTCTTGAGGCCCTCTTGGAGGCTCTTTGGGTTGTATTGGAGCGTTCTTGTTGGTCTCTTGACCCGTCTTGGACACTGTTAAGACCAGACGTGCGAATATGCTCAGCATATACGTTTCCCAGGGAGATGTTTTTCAATTCTTGCTTTTTGGGGCCATCTCTGGGGATCGTCTTGGAGTCCTCTTGGGGCGTCTTTGAGGCCTCTTGGACATTATTGGGGTCATCGTGATCATCGCGCGTTGGCGCCCAGCTTG